ACCAATACCAGGCCCTATTTGGTCCTATTTCTGTAGGCAACCAACTAGCCACCAAGTGACAAGCTGACTACAGAGAGCCTTTCCACCCTGGAGGGTCAGAGGTTCATCCCCACAGGGACAGACACTTATTCCACATGTGGATTTTCCTTTCCTGTCCTCAGAACGTCAGCCAGCATCACCATGTGGGGGCTTCAAAATGCCTGGTCCAGTTTGGAACTGCTCTTGCCACAGCATCCGACCAGGGGATCAACCGCACATGAAGGAGGTGCAGGCTGGGCCGTGACCATGGGGTCCACTGGTCATGTCACATCTGCACCACCCAGAGCTGCTGGCCACACAGAGCACTGGACAGGCTGTCTGAAGGTGCCAGTGAAGTGCCAGCTTTGAGGACATGCCCTGAAGGGATGGGGTGACATCTCCCAGGTCACAGAATATTTACTGAATCAGAGACTCTGTGGTGCCGAGTTCTCAACAGGAAGAGAAGGTGGGTCCAGGACCAGGGAGTGGAAGCAGGTGTGGCCCTGGTCACCATCACTTAGAGTCGCCCTCTGGGGGGTGTTGCACTTCCTGTCTGTAGAAATCTGGGCATTCAAGGGTAGGAGGCCAGGTTCCTAAAGTGGGGGCACTCTTACAAGGGGACACGACAAGGGTCCCATTGAACTTACACTGTTTGTCACCGGGGAAGTGTGGACAGCACGTGCCTAGGGACCAGCAGGTGAGAAGGCGAGTCCCCTCTTCTTAGCCAGGAGTAATGGACCCTGATCCATGGGGGTGGGGGTGGGGCTGCTGTCACATGATGGGGGCGGGAGGAATATGTGGGGACCTGGGTAATGGACCTGGGCACCTTGTAGTTCCCTCTCGTTCCCTGTAACTGTGAAGGGACACGTACAGCAAAGGAGTCTGAGAAGGGTTTGCGTTCCAAGGGCCCAGGCCCCTCAGTAGGGAGGTTTGGGTCACATCCCCCAGGTAAGCCCCAGGTCCCCACTCCTGTGCTCTGAAATCCATGGCAGCATTTGTGCAGAGGCCCTGCTTCCCAGGGGCTGTTCCCAGACAATGACTGGTCACAGGACACTGAGGCAGGCCATTCCCGGGACACAGGGGCTCCTCTAATGGCCAGTGTGGCTCGAGGACTCTCCCAGGGCCTTGCTCCACTTCAAGGAGATTGCTCAGCAGGGACCTGAGACATGGCTGACGAACCTTCTCCCCTGATGATCAGACTGGCGTCTCCGTCTGCTGGTTCTCCCAGGTTTTCTGGCTCCTTCTCCATAGTCTCTGACAGGTGTTTCTCCTGATTAAATACTGCTGAGCTTAATCCCGTCTTGGGATCTGCTTCTTGGAGCACCCTGACTAACAAGATCATTTTCATCAGTATACCAATGACCTATTACTTATCCCATCTTATAAAACCCTTCTCTTCACCCAGCTTCTCTCACCAGCATCTGCCCCATTTCACTTGTCCTTGTATTGTCTGTGTGAGGTAACAGATGTTTGTTGTTTTAAGACACTAAATTTTGAGGTAGTTTCTTGCGCAGCAACACATAATTAACAAAGCTCTCTTAAGTTTCTATTAGTCTCCATTCGTATTTCCCTGCACTTTGAAAATGTTATCTGTACTTGCTGTTTCCAGTTCCTCTCTGCCTGTTCTCTTTTTATTCTTTTGTGTTTTCTCCTTCCTTCCTTCCTTCCTTCCTTCCTTCCTTCCTTCCTTCCTTCCTTCCTTCCTTCCTTCTCATTATTCCAAAAGTGAAACTTAAGGCATTAAAGAAAATAATCAAAGAAACATTTGATTTATAAAATCCTGAAACAATATTTAATTGAAATTTTTATTTTTATATGTATGTAAATTATTTGACACTCCTCCCTCCCAGAGGTGGAGTAATTTCCTGTTTCCTGAGTGTGGGCTGGACTTAACGACTCTCTTCTTTTTTTTTTTTAGCTGAGCCATCCTGCTACCTGTTGGCTGCTCAGCGGCTGCTCAGCGGCTGCTCAGCGGCTGCTCAGCGGGGGCAGGACTCGAACCGCTGTTGCTCAGAGCTCAAACTCTTGAGCGAGCTCTTAACCAACTGAGCCACTCGGCCAGCCCCAATGACTCACTTCTTCTCATCAGGTTGATGTAATGGTGTGTGACTCTGAGTCTAAGACATAAAACTCAGTGTAACTTCCATCTTGGTTTCTCTCTCTCTCTCTCTCTCTCTCTCTCTCTCTCTCTCTCTCTCTCTCTCTCTCTCCCCCTCCTCCCCTCTCCCCCATCACAGCTCTAGGGGAAGAAGCCAGCTACCTAGTCATTTGCTGCATTATGGAAGAGTCCCCAGGGCTAGGAACTGAGGCCTCCTGGGACCATGGAAGGAAATGAGGCCCCTTCCAACTGCCCTATGAGTGAGTCATGTTTCATGTGAGTCCTCCAGCCCCAGTCAAGCCTTCAAAGATGAGGCAGCCCTGCCTGACAACTTGACTGCAACCTTGAGAGAGGCCCTGAGCCAGAAGCACTCAGGAAAACCTCTCCTGGATTCCTGACCCTGGGAAACTGTGGGAGATAATACACATTTGTTGTTTTGTGCTGCTAAATTTTGGGTAATTTGTTATGCTGCCATACATGACTAATACAGTATCCAAAGAGCGTATGGATTACTGTACTTTTACATTTACTGTAAATTAAAGATACTAAACATGTCATTTAGTTTTAAGATTTAAGAATTTCCATGGCTAATAGGATGCATTTTATTACCATTTACAGTAATCTATTTACTTGAACTTCATTTCTAACCATAACCCAAATAAACACAAAGGGAGGAACAGGCCATCCTAGGCTGATTCTATGATGGTCCCCAATAACCATCCTGGATATTCACCTTTCCCCAGTTATTCAATCAAACATTAATATAGGTGCTGGGAAGGGATTCTGCAGAGGTAACTAAGGTCTCACATCAGCAGACCTTCAGACCTGGGAACTATCCATGGGACTGTCCTAATCAGGTGAGTACTGACTGGGGTTTCCCCTTACCCCAAAGATTCCAAGTGAGTGGGGTTCAGTGTGAGGCATTTCCTTCACTGGGGGATTTGAAAATGGAGGGCCACATGGCAAAGACTTCTGGTGGACACTAGGGGTTGAAGCATCCCTCCCAGGGCTCCTCACTGACAATTGTCAAGGAAACTGGGACCTCAGACCTACAACTGGAAAAAAATGAATTCTGCTAACAATCTCTGCATATGCTTGGAGGAAGATCCTGAGCTCAGGATGAGCACACAACTTTGTGACACCCTGACCAGAGAACCCATCCACACCGAGCCTGGATTTCTGACTAAGGAACTGGGAGCAAATAAGTGGGGTTGTTTTGAGCCACTAAGTTGTGGTAATTTGTTACACAGCAATAGAAAACTAATACACAGGCTCAACTGTGCAATAAATAAGCATACAGCATTCTTTCCACTGGAATGAATTTATAAACTGTTTGTAATAATATATTTGCCTTTTTTGTATTTTTCAGATTATGACTTTATGTGATATAAATTTTAATACAAGCATTCATTCATTCATTAACAACTAATTTAATGCCTACTATTTATTAGGAATAGCTTCATATGCCTGGGATACAAATTTGACCAAAATAGCCCAAAGCCCCTGTTGCTCATGTGCCTGACATTCTAGAAGCTTCCCAGAGTGAGACGCAGCCATTGGAGTATTTTTAGTGAAGAAATGACACAGCCTGATTCTCGTTAGCAGGATCGCTGATTCCTGTGGGGAGAATAGTCCTTGGCTGGTAGGTGAGGGGGGGTGGCACTAGTGCCACAACCAAGAGTGAGAGGGTGGTGGGGACTAAGGGGAGAAGAGGGCCTGAGGGGTGAGAGAGACAGAGAAGGGCTGGAGAAGCAGGGGGGAGGGGAAGAGGCAGAGGTGAAGAATTCTAAAGCAGTGGAACTCTCAGATTGAAATATGTTGTTTATAGACCTTTAATAAATTATCTAGGGCCTAGCGGGGTGTTCTGTGGAGTTGCCTAAAAACTAATAGCCTCCTTATGCTAATAAAAAATTAATAAGTGTCCCTATAAAATATGCACACCGCCTAGGTGTGACTTATTCATAAAAATAGGCAATAAATAGGCAATACAGGAACACTGGTGAAGGGCATCTTAACTGCACTGAACACTTGCAACTTTGAGGTTGTACATACTCCTGGTTGAAATACACAGTCAGAAACTGCTTCCACTTGCTTCTTTGTATTGAGGATGCAGGGACTCAACAAACTCAGGGCTGTGGAATGAAGATCATTTTACAATAGAAATATCCGCAGTCACAGGTGTACGGTCTGGGAAAGTAAAACTTAGGAGCTTTGAGAGTCTGACTGCCATGCTCTTTAGACACAGTTCTGTACCAAAGGACCCAAATCACGATTTTATAGATTAGATTCCTGGTTATCAGGGGTTTCCAAGATTGTCACCCACTGTAGTTAATAAACAACAAGGAAACGGGGTTCTGTGAGAATCTCTATGTGATGTTTCAGGCACAGGTTCTTCAGGATTAAAGAGAAAAGCCCTGTCCTTCCTCTAGTCCCAGGGCGAGCTCACTCTGGCACCAAGTCCCCTGGGGTGTCTTCTTCCAGAAGAGTCCAGGGGGAGAGGGAAAGGGTGGGAGGCAGGGCGTCCATTTCAGGGAGAGGGATTCCGGGGAGAGAAGAGGAAGAAAAGGGGCTGAGCCCAGCCTGGTTTCCTCAGACAGTCCCTGGGCCAGGACGCAGGGAGACAGCGTGACACAGGCTCGGTGCTGGAGGAGGGGTCAGGGCACAGTCCCAGGTCCACTGAGGGCGGAGTCCCAGGCGGGAAGCTCAGTGTAGGGGAGTCCCCACCTCCCCGCGGTTTCACTTCCCCTTCTCACAACCTGCGTCGGGTCCTCCTGCCTGGAAACTCGTGACACGGCAGCAGTTCTCACTCCCATTGAGAGTCCAGTTTCTAGAGAAGCCAATCAGCGTCACCGCCTTTCCGGGTATAAAGTCCCCACGGACCCGCCCGCACGCAGATCGCACGCAGATCGTCCCCAGACCCCGAGGAGGCGCATAATGGGCCCCGGGACCCTCGTCCTGCTGCTCTCCGGGGCCCTGGGCCTGACGGGGACCCGGGCGGGTGAGTGCGGGGTCGGGAGGGAACGGCCTCCGCGGGGGAAAAGCGAGGGGACCGCCCGGTGGGGACGCAGGACCCCCGGGAAGATGTGTCCCCACCGCCCCGGCCCCGTGTCCCGCCCACTCCTGTGACCCACTTGGGTCTCCCGCCCCTCCCCCTCCGCCCCGCCCATTTCCCGCCGCCCGGGCCCCGCCCCCTCCCTCCTCAGTCCCGCCCCTTTTCCGTCTCCCGGGCCCCCGCCCCCTCCCGGCCCGTCGCCCTGGGACCCGGGACCCGCGCCGGGAGGAGGGTCGCCCGGGTCTCAGCCCCTCCATGTCACCAGGCTCCCACTCCCTGAGGTATTTCTTCACTTCCTGGTCCCGGCCCGGCGGCGGGGAGCCCCGGTTCATCTCCGTCGGCTACGTGGACGACATGCAGTTCGTGCGGTTCGACAGCGACGCCGCGAGTCCGAGGGCGGAGCCGCGGGCGGCGTGGATGGAGGGGCCGTGGGTGGAGCAGGCGCTGCCGGGGTACTGGGAGCGGAACACGCAGTTATACGAGGACACCGCACAGACTGACCGAGTGAGCCTGCACACCCTGCGCCGCTACTACAACCAGAGCGAGGCCGGTGAGCTACTCAGCCCGGGTCCGGTCACACGCCCCTCCTCCCCCACACGGACGGGCCGGGGTCCCCCCAAGTCTCCGGGTCCGAGCTACACCCCGAGGCTGCGGGACCCGCCCGACGCTCCACCCGGGAAGAGCCCGCGGGGACTTCGACCGGGTTTCATTTTCGGTTCAGACGCCATAACTGCGGGGCGGGGTCAGGGTCTCACACCATCCAGAGGATGTCCGGCTGCGACGTGGGGCCGGACGGGCGCCTCCTCCGCGGGTACTGGCAGGCCGCCTACGACGGCGCTGAGTACATCGCCCTGAACGAGGACCTTTCCTCCTGGACCGCGGCCGACACGGCGGCTCAGATCTCCCGGCGCAAGTGGGAGGCGGCCGGTGGGGCGGAGAGCCTGAGGGGCTACTTTGAGGGCCTGTGCCTGGAGTGGCTACGCAAATACCTGGAGAAGGGGAAGGAGACGCTGCTGCGCGCAGGTAAGAGGGGCGCGGGGCTCCTACACGGAGAGGAGGAAATGGGGTCAACACCAGGGCACCCCGTCTCCCCGACATCGGGGGTGGAGTCCACCTGGGTTTTCAGACCTGGTACCAGAGAAGGACCCAAAGGACCCCCGTCTCTCAGGGACAATTAGGGGTGCAGCCTCTCGGGATGGAGGGGAGACCGTCTCAGAAATACCTGATCAGTGGTTCCCTTTGGCCCCGGCAGCTGCCCGGGAACCTGGGGGACTTTCTCTCTCAGGCCTTGTTCGCTGCCCCACACACAGTGTGACTGACTGAGGTCTGACCCCAGCTGTTCTGAGTCATTTGGCCTCCACCCAGGTCAGGACCAGGAGTCCCTTTTGTCTCCATCAGAGACCTGCCTCTGACCCTGGGCTGTGTCACCATGATTCTAGAACTTTCTATAGAATAGAGATTATCCCGGATACCTGTGTCCAGTGTGGTGTGTGGGTTTTGTGCTCCTTTCCCCCACCCCAGTTTCCTGACCATTCTCGGGATGGTCACGTGAGCACTGCTGGAGGGTCCCACGAGGGATGCAAAGGTCCTGCATTTCCTGATCTTTCTCAGACCCTCCAAAGACACACGTGACCCACCACCCCAGCTCTGACCGTGGCGTCACCCTGAGGTGCTGGGCTCTGGGCTTCTACCCTGCGGAGATCACCTTGACCTGGCAGCGTGATGGGGAGGACATGACCCAGGACACGGAGCTCGTGGAGACCAGGCCTGCAGGGGATGGGACCTTCCAGAAGTGGGCAGCTGTGGCGGTGCCTCCTGGAGAGGAGCAGAGATACACGTGCCATGTGCAGCACGAGGGGCTACCCGAGCCCCTGACCCTGAGATGGGGTACGGAGGGGGCCGTGGGCACAGAGCCTCTTCTCAGGGAAAGCCGGGGCCTCTGGAGGACTTCAGGTCGGGGCTGAGGCCTGGGGTCAGGGCCCTCACCTTCCCTTCCCTTCCAGAGCCACCTCCTCAGGCCACCAACTCCATTGGCATGGTGATGGGCATCATTGTTGGGGTGCTGGTCCTCCTCGGAGCTGTGGTGGCTGGAGCTGTGCTGTGGAGGAGGAGGCTCTCAGGTAGGGAAGGGTGGGGACTGAGTTGTCTTGTCCACTGGGGGGTTTCAAGCCCCAGGTACAAGTGTGTCCTGCCTGTTAGTGGGAAGGACCATCCACACACGTGAGCTTTCCCAGTCTGGGGCCCTGTTTGCTAACACTTAGTCTTTATTAATGCACGTGTGAAAATGAGGGACAGATTTATCACCTTGATGATTCTGGTGATGGGGACCTGATTCTCAATAGTCAAAAGTCAGAGTGGAAGGTCCCTGCTGAGGACAGACCTCGAGGAGGGTGGTTGGTCTAGTCCCCACACACGTACTTTCCTCAGATTTCCTGATCCTGCCGTGGGTATGTAGTCACAGTTCTGGAAACTTCTCTGGGGCCCAGGACTGTGGGGCTTCTTTAGGACCTTATGGCCCTGCCTCCTTCCTGTCTTCTCACGTGATGTTTTCTTCCCACAGGTGGAAAAGGATGGAGCTACGCTCAGGCTACAAGTGAGTGTGGAGGGGGGTGATCCCTGAGCACCCTTGGGATGGTGTAGATGGAAGCCCTTGGGGGAACCCACCCACCCCCATAATTCCTCCTTTAGCCACATCTACTGTGAGCTCTGACCACATCCTGTTTTGTTCTAACAGGATGTGACAGTGCCCAGAGCTCTGATGTGTCTCTCACGGCTTCTAAAGGTGAGACCCTGGAGGGCCTGAAGTGGGGAGGGGTTGGGGCAGAGGGGACAGGACTGCGTACTGGGGATTCTTTGGGACATTTTGAGCATGTGGTGGACTGTTGAGAATGTCACCACTTACAGTCACTAACCTGAATTTGTTCATCATTATCTTCTACAGCGTGAGACAGTTGCTTTGTGGGGGACTGAGTGATGCAAGATGTGTTCATGCTCCAGTTTGTGACTTCAGGAACCTCTGACCTCTCTTTCTGCAAAGGGCATCTTAATGTGTCTGCGTTCCTCTCAGCATCATGTGAGGAGGTGGGAGACTGCCCGCCCCCTGCCCTCCATGCCCCCTCTCAACACTGAGCCTCTTCGCTGACCCACTGTCCTGTTCCAGCAGAGGCTGTTTCCATCCCCGCTTTTACTTTGTGTTACACTGAGCAGCAACTTCTTACATCTTATTGAAATAATCATCTGGATATGGATTTGTTTTTTTCAGTTGTTGCCATGAAGGGTTGATGGGTTAATAGAAGAAGAAAATCCTAAGGTTTCAGAGGAAATAAACGGAAGCACTGAGAACCTTCCAGAATCCATGTGTTGGCTGTGCTGAGTCTATTGCAGGTGGAGACAGGAGAGGCTGTGAGGACCGAGCGTGGATGCGGACTGAGCCCATTCAATGCTCAGGGCATTGTGGGCATCGACGTGGTCACTCCTCGGCTGGGTGACCTCTCTGCCCCTTTGTCCTTGTCCCTTCAGTAGAACCTTGTCCCACTAGGACCTGTGATCCCAGAGACTTGAACATCCCCCAGGCCTGGTCTTGTCAGTAAGGGCTTCGTGTGTCTGGGTCAGCCTAGTCTCAGGCCTGGCCTGGCCCTCAGCCCCCATCTTTTGGGTGTTCATTTGTGTTTCTATAGAGGAATATAACTGGTTTTGTTCTTGTTATGAGTCCTGGTTTTATTCTCCTTGGGTGTCCCCATCTGTCTGCAGCAGGATGTGTTTTGTCTGTCATTGTCCCCACAAGGCGCAGCAGGACCCTGCACACAGGAGTCTGTGGATGGAGAGATGAATTTTCAGACTCAGGCAGCTCTTGCCTCCTCCTAGGGCTTGATGGTTATTTCCATCTTTTCCCAAACTATCAGAGGAACCAGATTCTGGAATTAGCAGAGGAGGGATCCCGTAATTTCTCATCTTAGATAAGTTCCTGCTGGAATTCTGCTCTGCTCGCCCGCCCTCTCTCCCTGCCCTGAGCTCTAGTGCTGGCTCCGGTCCAAACTCAAGAGGACCTGTAGGCCGGGGCTCACTGTTTCCTGTAGAGAGAAATGTAACTGCTGAGGTGTGCAGGAGGGCAGGTGTGGGAGAAAGAAGGGGGGAGGGGAGGAGAGCAGCACCTGTGAGAGAAATGGAGCTGGCACTGATGCCAGTGTGAGGGGACTTCGTGCTGTAGCTGTCACAAAACAGCATTTGACCTGAGGCTACATTAATAAAGACACTGTCTCTAGAACAGGGAGGCGCTATCACTGATCACTCACTGACACTGGCTGTGTGCCAGATGTGTGACAGTTTCTGCATCTGGGAAACATCACTGAAGTAAAGTCAGAAACATGGCTGGCCTTGGGGAGCGTCTGTCCCAGTGGGAAGAGACAGACTAGATCCTATAAGCACAGTAAACGAGGAAGGTGATTCTGTCAGAAGGAGATAAGGTTCCGGGAGAAACGCAGTGGGGAAGGGGATGCAGAGTGTGGGGTGTGGGGACAGGGAAGACGGCCGTGTTGATTGGGGTGGTCAGCGGGCCTCACTGGGAAGCCGACCTTGAGGGAAGACGTGAAGGACATGACGAATTACCCATGAGGATGTCTGGGCACGTTCTTTCCAGGCAGGGAACCTGCAGTGGGAAGGCCCTGGGGCAGGAGTGTGTCTGGTTTTGGGAAGAGCAGGGAGGCCGGTGTGGCTGCAGCAGAGAGTGATGGAGGAGAGACGGGTATGGCCAGACCACGTGGCCGGGAGGACGTTAGAGGGTAGTGACCTGGGCTCGGAGTGAGGTGGGGATTACAGGACAGTTGGGAGCAGAAGGGGACATGGTGTGATCTGCTTTCAGAGCACCGCTGGGGCTGCGGTGCTGAGAACAGACTTGGGGTGAGGGAGGCCGTCGGGAGCCGGAGGAATCTGCAGGGTTCCGGGCTGGACCTGCTGCCCCTGGGGGTGAGCGGGGGAAATAGTGGGAGTGGGGTTCAGGGTACGTTCTGAGGTGTACATCACAGTGTTTCCTAATGGGTCAGTCTGGGACATGAGAGTCAAGGGCCCCACAATCTCAGAGGGCACAAGTAGAAAGACGGAGTTGCTGTCAGCAGAGATGGGGAAGAATCTGGAAGGAGCAGATCTGAGGGGTGGGGGCGTCACAGACATTCATTAAGAGATGTTGGAGCTGAGATGCCTGTTAGAAATACAATGCGGTCATCGCACTGGCAGTTGGGCAGATGTCTAGAGATTAGGGGAAATGTCTGGGCTGGAGAAATAGACTTGGGAGGTGACACATATAAATGATATTTAAAGCCTTAAGCACAGATGAGGTCCCCAAGGGAGCGATGACTGTAGAAGAGAAAGGAACAGGACTGAACCCTGGACCCCCAGTGCTAGGATCTGATCAGACCACACACCCGAGCAGATGGCACAGTTCTGGCCCCATGTCGATAAGGCATGTAGACCAGGGAGTCCCAAACTTCCCTGGGCACAGGAATCATCTGGACAATCTTGTTAAGACTCAGAAAGTCTGGAGCAGAGCAGAGATCCTGGATTTATAACGAGGTTGGTGCTGCTGCTGGTGTTCAGATCACACAGTTTTTTTTGTTTGTTTTTTTTAAAGATTTTATTAGGGAATTGGGGGAAGGGAACAGACAGGTAGACAAATTGCTGTTTTGTTCTTCAGTCTAGTTGTGGAGGACATCGCTTCACTGGCCCATGTTGCTATGATTATTGCACTCTTCCCGGGTGAGGCAGTCGGTCACTGGTCATTGGTCGGCCGCTCACTGTGGCTCACAGCAGCTCTCCCTGGCTGCCAACTGCTCACACTGGCTGCCAGCCACTCATGTAGCTCATGGCAGCCCGCTGCAGCCTACGCCGTCACCGGCGACTCACAGCAGCCCAGCTCCAGGTCTAGCTGTTCATCATCTTAACTGTAGAGGGCACAGCATCACTGGCCCTTAACGTGGGATCCGAACCGCGGCCCTGCTTCTCAGAGCTGGTGCTCCCAAGTGAGCTCTTAACCAACTGAGCCACTCGCCCAGCCCTTCAGATCACACTTTTAGTAGCAAGACCATCACCAGAGTTCCCACAGGGCTGTGCATTGGCCTCACCTGCAGGGCTTGTTACATAAGCGATTCCTGGTCTTGTGCCTGATTCTCTGAGATGGTGGGTCTGGGAGAGGCCTGAGTGTAAGAAGCCCATAATCTGTCCTGGGGCTTTGCCAGCTTGGGAACCTCTGAGGTCAGTGATCAGAGCTAAGGGTGGGGAATGGTCTTAAATACACTTTTAAAGGTTTTTTTTTTCCTCAGAAAGGGAAGGACATATATTGTCAATTTTGAGATGTGATGTTGGGAGTTACATGTCGTTCTCTCTACCGTGAGGTAGAGTCAGGTGGAAGATATAGGAGTGGGTCACAGGCCTGTATAATAACATCTTTGAATGCTCGCTCCCAGAAGCTATTCCCCAGATTGATTTCTGGGAGTA